ATTGTTAGGGATATTCATTGCTAGGTGTTGCCAAGGGTTAGGCTTTATTTTTTATGACTCACAGTTTCGTATGCTAAGAGAAACTTCTATTATGCCCTGGGAACGTATTCATACGGAATATTAGTTAATGGTCTGTACACACAGTCCTTTCAGAGCACCCAACATCCCAACCGTAGCCACACATCATCCAGTCCAAAAATGTTTCTGGAAAAAAACCTGCTGGGACTTTAACAAGCAAACCCAATGTCAAAATACAAAATACTCCCAACCACAGATATGTTGATTTTGTAGAGGGTGGCACCCAGCCTACAACCGTAAATTTTCAAGTACAGAACATGCCGCAAAAATGCAGTCAACAACAAATGCCTCTTTCAGCCACAAACCTTCAAAATAAGTACCGTTTCCTTACTCCAATCAAGGTCAATGCCCTTAAGAAATATTTAAGAAATTACAAATCAGCCCAGTATTTGATTCAAGGGTTTTTAAATGGTTTTAAACTGGGTAACATAGGACCTAATACAGCTTCTGTATCTCCAAACCTAAAGTCTTGTGACGAAAATCCTAATGCCATACATGCCATAATTTTTACACTCATTTCCGGGACACTTTTCATTTGGAGGTGGGGCATTGATCAGCAAACGTATTTTTTTAAAATTTACATAGTGGCATACAACCTATATTACCGGTATTTTAATACAACTTGCAAATTTAATGACACCATAAACAAAAGACAGAATGTCAATAATTATTAACAGTTTTTCTATCTTTTTTAAGTATTTAGGCATCGTTAATTCAATCAGTCACAGAATAGAATAAAGCTATGTTAAGTAATGACAATTAGCCATGTCGTTTACCTGAAACATTTGCTGAATCTTGTAGATTTCATCACCTCATATTTAGCGGTAATTTTCACAGTGTTTGACCACTAATAACTGCCTCCAGGCGGATTAAATTTATACTGGCCAGTTGTTAATTACAGTGTATGACACCTTCGCTCAGGAAGCCACATGGGGTAAACAATTAATCTTTTAATTGATCAAAATTATTGCTGATAATTGTTTGTTGGAAGGGGCACGTAGATATACCAATCAAAGAATTAGTGTCACCATTGCAATGTCGTTAGGGGATAATAGTTCGTTATTAGCGTTCTAGACTAGTTTATAAAAAACTTGACAATAAAATTATATAAAAATGTAAAATTTCTTGCTTCAAAGTAGATTATTTAAGATTTTTTTTTTACCGGGACATAAATCATCTCCGGACACCTCCGTGACAGACACCTTATTCCGGGACTGTCCCGGGCATCCGGGACGTTATGGCATGTATGCTAATGCAATTCATATTAACTTAAGAGAGAACTTGACGCGGGTAGGGTAAAATGTTTATTTAATGCACCACCAATAGACAATCTTCGAATAAGCCCGATTGGCCTTGTGCCAAAGAATAATCCAGGTCAATTTAGGTTAATACACCATCTAAGTTATCCACACAGTACTTCGGTTAATGCTTTCATAGACCCCAACAACTCCAGCATTACTTACTGTTCCTTTGATGATGCAGTTAATAAACTGCTAGATCTTGGTCCCGGATCGTTATTCAGAAAATCTGACATAGATTCAGCATTTCGATTAATTCCAATCCATCCAGATGACCATCATTTTCTAGGTTTTAAATGTTGTGGCCAATATTATTTTAATACATGTCTTCCTATGGGGGCATTGTCGTCTTGCGCTATTTTCCATTGTTTCAGCTCAAATTTACATCACATTGCTGAAAATGTTTTACACAATAAGCATATTCTAGATGATTTTCTTATACTTGGTCCCCCTGCTGTCAAAATGACATAAACAAATTTCTGAAATTGTGTTGAGAAATAGGTGTTCCCAATAAAAAGGAAAAAACTGAATATGCCAGAACGGTGATCATATTTATGGGTCTTGAAATTGACTCAATTAGACAAGCATCCTGACCAAGTTTGATGATAATCGAGTCAAAAATGTGACCACTAGAGTGTTAACAAGGTTTTTCTATTTTTAGCTCCTGTGACCTAGTTTTTATAAACGAGATGACCCCTGTTTGAACTCATCCAAGCTATTACCTAGACAAGCATCCTGACAAAGTTTGATGATGATTGAGACAAAAATGTGACCGCTAGATTGTAAACAAGGTTTTTTCTATTTTTAGCTCCTGTGACCTAGTTTTTCAAACGAGATGACCCATGTTCGAACTTATCCAAGCTATTACCTATATAAGCATCTTGACAAAGTTTGATGATGATTGAGGCAAAATGTGACCGCTAGAGTGTTAACGAACAAGTGTGGACCGACGACAGATGACGGACAACGGACATTCAACGATCCTAAAAGCTAATCCTGAGCTAGCTCAGCTGAGCTAAAAAGCCACATTGAAGAAGGAAATGAACACCCCCTTACCAAAGACAATGTACCCCAATATGATAAAGAGAAAACCCCTATACATGAGAAAGTTGAAAGTCCCTGTAGTAAAGGTGAAAGAAAAGCCCTAAACTTGTTTGACTATGAAATTCAGAAAAAGAACAAAACCGTCTAGGTATACTTTGTAAAAGAACAGTTACAAACCCTCAATAATAGAATAGGACATTATTCTGTTCAAAACGTAAATAAGTGCGATGAGACAGCAAAGAAAAACTTGATTTGCTATGTGATGCCCAAAGACAGCTTCTGCTAGAAAAAACAAAGTGATAATGAAAATGAAATAATTGCCCAACTAAATGAGAGTGGAATCCTTAAAAATCAATTCCAATGTGGAAATAGATCAGCATCAGCAAAAAAAAAGTAAATGCCCAAAAGACAGCTAGCTATTATAAAGTTAAAGCTTCAAAGTTAAGAGAAAAACTGAAAAGTGATAATACTGAACCTATAAAAACACTAAAATACAAACTCACTGAAAAAGATGCAAAAATTCATGAAGATGAAATTAATGAAAGTAAAATTAAAACTTGTGCAAAGGACGGAACATTTACAGATAATGTTCGATTATGTGTGATAAAATTATGTGGTTTTAGAAGTTGCTGTTGATAAAATCCCTACAGTGTTAAGAACTGTTTCTAAACATTTACATGGTATTGATATATCCGTGTTTGATCTACCATCAAGTACTACCGTCCAAAAAATTATCGATGAAGGACATTTTCTTGCCAAAACATTAATTTCTGAAAAGCTGTCTAAGGCAGAATTCTGGGGGTAAAATCGCGATAGCACCACACGTAAAAAGCAGAAAATTCTCGACACATCTATCACATTGTCTTCTGGAGATATACTCAGCTTGGGATTTTGTAGAGTTGCGCATGAAACTGCAGAAACAATAAACAATGTTACAAAAAATCATGTGACTGAACTTGCAAACTTAAATCAAAATCTTAATTCAAAATCAGCTGAACATCAATTTGTAAAAGAATCGCTGGGTAAATTAGCTTTTACAATGAGTGACAGAGCTAGCAACGAAAAAAAGACTGACAGATTACTGGACGAATGGCGTGACTCTATTTTAGGCAATTGTAATGACAGACAACAAGATGAAGTGCTGCATTTTCACTGTATGGCCCATGTGCTTCTTGGTTTTCATAGGTACATTTGTAAGGATGTGAAATATCTGGAATCTAAACTATGTGAGATAGATGCTCTAGGGCGTGATAAACTGTCCGCTTTTTCGAACTGGCGAACAAAAGGAACTGTAGTTTAACGAGTTTTGTTGACAACTTCAGATGTTTTTGGTCCGTCTGGAGATCATCATGGTATTAGAGATTTGTGGGAAGCATATTGTACTGTTAATGGTATAAAGTCCATTATAGGCAATTACAAAGACAATAGATTTAATGCCTTATTCCAAACTGCTGCAGAAATATTCCATCACAGAGCCCATTTCATAGTCATGTTCTTGAAACTGTAAAGTCCCCAAATTTGAAATTAAAATCAGTTATTGCCTTCCTGAAAGATAATTGTATTTTTGCATCAATTTGATGCCTTGGCCTTTTTTACTTGAGATTGACAGGTCCATATTGGGCCCTTATTATCTTGAACTTTTCAAAGAAGTGTCCAAATTGAAAGAGTACCTTACTGTACTAGAAAATGATCCTGCTGTCATTCTGTGTGATACGATGTGGAAAGATGTGCATGTGCAGCATAAAAGACTTTATCTAACTCCCTTAACAAACAAAATGAAAACAACCAGGCCTCCATGTTTGACTTTGTTAAACTTGTTGCATGTGCAATGAATAAAACAATCAACAAACGACCGAAATCAAATACTACACCTCAAAGAGCTGCACTAGCAAGACAGGTAATAACCAACAGGAAAACTGATGTTTCAAATCCCATGGTACTAAGAGAAGAAACATGGATCACCTCAAAGATTTTGTCTGTTTCATATGTTGTTCCATAGTTTAAACAAATGTAGAGCTTTTAAAATGAAAAGTTTAAGTGAAAGAAAGCAGTTTCTCAAAGAAAATAATATTTGCTACAAGTGTTGTGAATTTGATCATCACAAATTAAAAGAGTGTAAAGTGTTTATTAAATGCTGTGTTTGTGGTAATGTTAATCACATGTAAGTGTAATTACTTATGCAACTAATGTGTGTAATGGTACAGGAAGTGTAGTTCAAGTACATGTACTAATCATGCATGGTAAGTGTACATTTCATGACAAATCTTTAGAGATTTAATGTTCCTTAAATGCCAAGGTACAGAAATACAGTATCTTTGGCTCACAAATTCATGGAGTATGCAAGTATGTTTTTCTCACCACAAACAGAATACAGAAGCATTAGAAAGTATGTTTCCTTGTTATTATATCTTACAGACCTCTTTAAATTAAATCCTGTGTTCAAAGGCATGAAAAAAAGAGAAAATTTACTTCTTCCCTTTACACAAAAAAAAGTGTTTTTTTGACAAGACAAGAGTTTAAAATGGATAGATATTCTACATTATTAATTGATTGTTGAGTATCAATGATATATCAATATTGAGATTTTCAATGACAGCCCTAACTTGACTGGTGACAACATCTAGCATCAGATTTCCATAACTCTGCCTATAAGGCATGTTTAAATGTAACACATACTACCAAATATTTTCATCACGTCAAACGTTTTTAAATACAATATAATATAAACAGAATTTGAAAAAAAATAAATAACTATAACATATCTACATGTACATAACTTGATGATACTTTTCACTTTAGTTATTTTGATATAAGCAATTGGTGAATTACTAACCTACTCAACATAGTTCAAAATAATACTTATAAGTTAAATGGCAAACACCTATATCTAGTTGCTGTCAAATTAACATTCAATTTATGTTGCCATCTGATAAACAAGACCTATCCACAACTGGACACTCTTTGTAAACAACTTATCCACAACGTTTCACCATGGATCTCCCCAAATAAAATTAGGAAATAAAACAGGAATTTATAGAAATTAGTTAACTAAACAAAACTACATCACATATCCTCATGGAGTTCAGCAGAATTTCCTGGACAATGTTTCATCAAATCTTCTTTATCTGAAATACAAGAAAATAGCAATATCTCAAACCATATAAGGAATGTAAATCATTAATTTATATATAGATGAAATATAATGTCTCTATATCATCATAATAAAACATTCATCCAACTAGAGTTTCACTTTCAAAAAGGGCAGAAATAAGATAACTTGTTTCTAAACACTTTTTAAAGACTTTGAATTTCAAGTCATGATGTTTAAGTTGAATAGCTCACTCTGATTAAATGCCAAAGTGAGATTCTAGTTACATCAACTGGCAAGGCTCATAATAATACAGCATGTTTGTAATGGTGCTTTTCATTGGATAGTCATGGTGTTCATATAGTTTATATACATGGCTGCTATCAATTTATGAAGAAGTCTCATTTTTTTTCCTCAAAAAAAAGTTTGCTGTATTATAAATTTGTTATATAGATTCCAGACAGTTTATATGGCTTTATATAAACAGTTGTTTGCAATACAAGAATAACCCTAGCCAAGCTGCTTGGGTTGTATTTCTAAACAACTGTGCATAAACATCAATAAGTCAAAAATCTTTGTAATAAATATTGTATTACATCACTGGGTAAAAACAGTCATATAATAATATAATTACACCAAAACCAACATTTTAATGTAATTTTTCACTGCTATGCATTATAGAGCCATTCATTATTGATTTTTATGAGGGGAAAGAACTAGAACATTACAGTTTCTTAATTAATTTACTTGATCCTCGGGAATATTGCAAAAAAAATTTCAACCGCGTGATATTCATTTCCAGGATGATATATATCAAAGTAACACCATGTGATGTCACATTAGGCTATATCATAAAAAGTTTATATGAGGTATAAGAATATTGTTTAATGAATGTTGCTGTTTTTTCCTTTTAACTTACACCTGGTTCACAAACATAAACAACTGATCACACTAGTAAACAATATTCAAAGATACAATAGTAACATACCATTATATTTAGTACCACACCATACACAATATTTGTGTTTTGTTCTTAAGTATATAGTCAGCACATCCAACATTTCTTCAACCTGTAAAACATATTGAAATATCTTTATACTAATTTCCTTGCTTGGAAGAAAAAACTTAAACAATTACTGTATAAAGTAGTTGGTATAAGACATGGAGAATTTTAGAAGAAACTGACTTCAATCATCTATAACCCCTTTTAGAAAATGAGGTTAATGTCAGATGAAGCTAAATTGAAAAACAACTGCATGAGTAGAAATATTTGTCTGATTGGCTGGTAATGACAGTAACTATCTTAAATATCATGAAATCAATTACAATAGATTCGTGCACATGTTTGGACTGGTAATCATAATGTACAATAATATTTTCAAGAGACAATATATACAAACACTATAGCTTGCAGCTGGTTCTTCCTCAGTCTCTCTAGAATCATCATCATCATTATCATCATCATTATCATCATCATCGTCAACATCATCCTGTACATAGCCACTATATCCTGGTTGCATACGATCTAGTCTCTCATCTTCCCCAACACCATTAATATCATCATCATCTTCCTCAGCTTGTCTAGGTAATAAAGCTTCTGGCCAGAAAAATGCTTCATGTGGTTGTGTTATACCCTGAAATAGTTACACACAAAAACGTAACTAGATTGGCAGAAACAACTATAAATATTGTATCTTAGTTCCAGCATTTAAATAACAATGTTGTTATTCATCTCATATACCAAGGTGCAGTAGTGTAATAATGCCACTTAAGTCAGAGCTATCTGAACAGGGTTCCACTTTTCTCAGAGATGGACAGTTTACTGCAATTTTTCTAAATAAAGAGATCATTTGAGGAAAAGGTAATACAGACCTTGACCTACAATTTAAAAATAGGTGTTGCAGCCGGACCTCATCATCCAAATCAACATATCAAGTTTCAAAGACATAATTGAAGTTACTGACCTGAAACAAATTTCTAATCTCCAATTTGGTCACAATGTGTACCTTATGAATGGGTGCATTGTCATGTAAGAGGTGAATGTACTTTGGGGACAAATTTTGTAGTAGTTCTTTAATTTCTTTACAACAACATTTCTATAGAACTTAATTGTGACTGTTTTGCTAGATATAGGGATTTACAAGATAGGACTCATCATCAAAGAAAATTACATACATATGATTATGAAAAAAACTTCTTTACTAAACAGCTTTGCATTTCGTTGACCAAAATTGGATTGGAGAACTTACATTTGTCTCATCATCAGTAACCAAATAATCAAAAGCTTTCTTGATATATATTTGATACATATCTGGAGCTGTTTCATCACGACTTTCACGAAATAAAGTACAAATGACATTAATTTTGGAACATCTCTCAGACTGACAGAGCTCCCCTTAATTATGATAATATTTTTTTTCAAAATCTATTCATGACTAGAAATACATTATCAAACTTACCATCTGTGAATCAAGCTGTTCACAAACTTTCTGGCTTTTGTAAAGGTCTTTATCAACATTTTTATTCTTTATTCTTTCATTCATTCTTCTCATAAAAGTTTGTTTATGTTCAGCTTCCATCTTTCTTCTTTTAGCACTCCAATGTTTATGCATCTGTACTTGTTGATCCTTCTTTCTTTTCTGATCTGCCTCCCTCCCCAGTCCACCTCTACCCAACTTCACTTCTACAGGAATAGGTTCTGTTCTTCCAACACCTTTATAGTGTACACAAAGATCCTCATAATCACATTAAAGAATTCATTAATACATTATTTGTATATACATGACTCATTGAATAATAAATATATCACTGTCAACTGTGTACTTTATATTTATTCTGTACACAAAAAATATTTTATTTGCACTTCATATATTAAAAGTTATAAATTTGAACACAGTATGTTACTTAAAAAGCAACCTAAACCTATTATTAAAGGTGTTAACAAATAAACTATTAAATGAATAGTTTTCAGCATTTTTTCTGAATTATTACTTCTTAACCCTAAAAAAAAGATTTCAAAACAAATATGGAACATTCATGGAAATTTCATGAAAAAATCTCTTTTAAAGAATTTCAATTTCATACAAAAGATATTTTATATGTTCCACTGACCTGATTTTCCTATGGCCATTCCAGGTTTATATCCCATTTTCTGAAGTAATGAGAATCCTTTATTGTCACTAGATAAACTAGCCCCTAAACCTTCCTCTCTTTTCTCTCTCTCTAACACAGCCTTTGGTTTCTGTTTGTTCTTCTCATTATATTGTTTTTCTTTTTTTCTCTGCTCCTGTCTCCTCACACAATCTTTGGACAGTAACCCTGGTCTTGTATCAGGTCTGATTGGATAAATATAAAATTGTGCAAAACATTAAGTATACATATGATATGAATTTAGTAGGATCTACTGTAGAATTAAGGCAGACTTAGGGACAGGGCCAACCATACCAAGGTAGAATATATTTAGAACAAGAGTAACCACAACTAGAGACAAGGTGGACTGTGGGTTAATAGTAATAAAATCAATATTTTATAAATGTAAAAGTTATAATAATATAACCTTAATTTTATTACCCTCTTCTGTTATTTGAAAGATTACCACATTTCAACAAACATTCCTTTAACAATAACAGTGACCTAAGACAGAACACTATAACATGTTATAGGATGGGTATTTACTTTAATCTAAAACAGTTAATCTATATAAGTTATGAGTTATTATCTTTCATACTTATTGCACGGTATATAGATACAATATTAAAGCCAACCAATCAAATTGTTGCAGTTATTACTGAATGGTATAAATAAGCTGAATTTGGCAATGTTAGTTAGGTTAGCTCAATAGGTAGAGCGTTGGACTGTGAATTGGGCTACCCGGGTTAGATTCCCGGACGACACAGGTCGCTTTTGTTGTGATTGATCATGAAATCCTTTCTACGGTCATTCACACTGTACCTCTGCTCTTGCATGTACAGAAGTTTCAGTTCCTTGCGAAAGTGAAGGCAACTAGTACTGGTAAACTGCTTGACAGCCTGCCCAGGAACGATGGGGTAGTTGAACTGTGCTCTTGTGAATTCAATGTGGCTTACTGTTGTGATCCGGAGTGAAAACTACCAACACCACCACCACATGTTAGTTAGGTTAGCTACGGTACCTATTCTGGTCAGTACTATAAGGCTTAGCCTTGAAACACTAAACTGGACTTAGTCCTAAACACAAATGTTTATGTTTATTGTAATCAACCTCATATAAAATATCTCATAAATATAATCTTAATAAAAATTAAATTTTATTAGTATACTTATTTAATTTATTAGGACTACTCATATAATAAAAGCATTGTTTGAAATTGTATTTATTAGTTGTTGTTATTTAGTCCATCATCTTTATATAGTAACACTTATATAACATACATGTATCTAACAGTGTAAGTCTACTTAGCCCTGAGAATTTACTCCAGTTAAAATTTGGCAGAGAGATACTGCCTCTACTACTGTAGCCCTAAGTGTTTGTGTTTTTCGGTCCTAAATTCTTTAAATGAATTGTCTGTCAGTGGACAGTCGCACTTTGAAACAGTATAAATAAACTATGTAAGATGTGCGAATCGCTATAGTCGCGACTCAAAAGTGGGACGAATCGCTATTGTCAACTTTCGCTTGTTGCGTATGCATTCAAGTTTTACAAGCATTGAGATAATACATGTACATAACACTTACAATTTTTGTAAAAATGCATCAGACATATAATCTTCTTCGTCAGACATACTTGTTATCTACTTTATGTTGAATTACTGCTACGCTTTTAGTTTTCAGTGCGTCGCAGGCTGTAATTACGGTACAGTACCACTAAAATACGCAATGGAGATTTTTTGGCGCTTTTAATATTAAGGTTGAGCATCACTATTTTTTCCTTTTTATATTGCCTCTTGGGCCTTTCATATGTATCATTTTTTTCATGTAAGTCTCGTTTTCTTATAAGAATTTTAATAGACTGTTGGTACAAAACCAAGTGGGTAGAATTAGATATATCCTACTATAAAGAACATAGTGGACAACTGAGAACTTACTCAAAAAATTTAAAAAGTCTATTACAAGATATTGATTTATGTCGAGATGTCACCTTAATGATTTTAAAAGAACTCTCTTACTGTATCGTATATCTTAAAAGGTTATGTAAACTTTAAAACTCTTTAAATAGTTAGAACAGTTTGTGTATATGTTGTGAGAATAATGATATTAATGCTGTAGCAAACTTAATTTTATCCATAAATGTTTTCATCTAGACTCGAATTTCAAAAAAGTGACATCTTTTTGAACTCATATCACGGGGGTGGGACCTCATATGGATCTCAAATTGAGCATCGGTTAAAATATATGTGAAACTTTATAAAGTCAAGTAACCCCTTTTAAATTGAATGCAAGCTTTCTATAAATTAATTTGTAGCGCGTTATGAAACAGCTTCAGAGCTACAGAGGTCATTCTATAAAATTTGAGATCACTTCAATTCAATTACAGCTGAAATACATCTTGATATATTCAATTTAATAGAAGAGGTAATCATTCATTAATTGCACGCTTTAGCTCAATTTTTGATATCAATAATAATTATTGTATTATCCACAGAGCTACTTAAGAAATTATATCGGTCTTGGCGGTGTTTATCGGCTATTTAACACCGGTTTGGAGTTTTGATGCGTAGCAATTGACCACGAAGTCCGTAGGCCTGAGTGGTTAATTCTTTCGCATCTCACACCCACTAGCTCCGGCTTGAGCGGTACTCCATTTTCAATACTAAATGGAATCAATGATCCCGAAGGACCTGAAAAATATAACAGCACTGAAGTGAAGTACGGTCCAACTTTTTACAGTTGCTACACGGCACGTGACTCCTGCTGATATGAGATACTGTATACAAATCTGGACCACAAAAAAATGCAAAATTGTCTAATTCACTTGCATGGCTTGTCAGCAGTTCCTTATTTATTTTCATTCTGGTATTTGCCACACTTGAAAATAGTGCATTTAATATTCACTCAATATTTACCATTTCTTGGCCTCGCACTGATTCAAAACAAATAACCCTTACATGCGATTTTATTATCAATTGATTTTAGCACTTGATCTTGATAGGCTTTTTTCTTCTATTTTTATTTTCAAAGAAGTTATATACATATTTTCAAAAGTACTTTTTCTTAAACTTTGTCAAACGTAACTTTCAATATCTAAATATTTAATAAAATTAAGTGATACAAAATGTACTTTTCTAACATACAAAATGTACTTTTCTAACATTTCATGGAATTTTCTTCAAATTCCTTCAAAATCTACTTCCATTAGCGTTTTATATTTGATTGTTATGGCACTAAAATACCATAATATTAGCAAATGGCCTTGATAATAATATAAATTTATCAATAATATTGATCCAAAACTGCGTGAAGTATAAGTTTGCAACTAAAATGCGCTTTTGTGTATTGAAACTTTATTAGAATTAACATACCAATTAAACCATTTGCACATGATTGACGGATATATATTTGTATTGTTTGGTGAACTTCAAAACGTAAAGATGTGAATAAGTGAGTAGAAAATCCGACAGGAAATGTCACCTGTCAAATCGCATAAAGCTGAAACCTAAAACCGAGTGTGTAAGGAATTGGCATACGGATTTTGTTTCAAAATAACACACAAATTCACTTACATAGATAAAATACGTGCGAGTGTTGTAAATATTCATTACTCGGTAGCCATTTTGAACCAAGTGTGCAAATACTTCACGTCCTTCCCCTTATTGGTCTTTGTGTTTCAACATTTTCTTCATACACAGAACCTGCATGGGACACGGCCGAACCGGACAAATAATCTAAAGATTGCTGGCCGCGTGAGTTCAAATCCCGTCAGCGACAAATCGTTGTTCCGTGAGTAAGACTTTACAATCATTGCTTAATATTGACTGGATCGAAAGCATTTCAATAAGCTTCTAAAACGACGGAACTAGAATAAATTCATATGAATTAACCTGGGACGTAATTTAATCGTGTCCCAGACAGAACCAGTCCCGACGAACATTGCACAAAAACTGGGTAAGTATAGAAGTAATTAAGTCAGTTAAAAGTGACAAACAAAGCTTTGAATTTTATAAAAAAAATGTTTAAAATATTGAAACTCTGCCCTGTGAATGACTCATTTACTTTCGGTTTCACTCATTGGGATATTGTGCTTATCTGAATCTGTTTCACACGTTATACTAGAAAAATTGGGTGCCAGTTAAGTAATTTATATGTACAAACTTAAAAGAAATCATTGGTTTTATCATGATAGCTAGTACTTTAAACATAATTTTGGTGTTTCTATATAATTGTTTCTGACGCGCAAAAATCCTTTCAAAAAGGCCAATTAAGCCCTAGAAATGCTTTTATTTTTAAAAAGCTTTTTACTTATATATTTATTTTTATTATTTTTATTATTATTTTTATTTCCGTTAGTTACTGAGCGATCATTAACCTGAACTACCATTTGCTTCTGTTGGCAATTAAGTACGGTGATAATGATTTCGTAATTTGTATGAAAGTCAAAATTTTGCTACAATAACAATTTTAATACTTTCACATTTACCACTATACTTTTTTCAGAAATACAGGCAAAACAAAAATGTATTTAATAAGTCTGCACAAACTGCACGATATATTAATTATGTTTAAGACTTGAAAAAAAATCTAGTCTACAATGCCGGGAGTACGGGATTATTCAGAATACTACATGAAATATATATACATACCTTTAGACAATTAATCCTTCGTACCAATAAGATGAAGAATAATCAAAGTGACACAGCAAAAGGGCATGTTATTTCTTCTGATAATCACTTTTTTTAACGGTATAGAATAATAAAATCTATCATTCACCTTTGAAACATTGTTCTTTTTCACTTAAAACGGTTTTATTATTGATGAGTGATAAATAGAATATAAGATTTGTGTAAGTTCATTACTAAATTTGATGAACTCATTGAATAAAGTAATATTATGCTCGCCACAGGCTCGCAATCAAGTCGTTCATTCAATTTAGTATAAAATTCATTCAAGATCCTCTATATTTATATGCTACTGGATCTATATAACTTTCTGTTTTTGACATGTATTAGATGCATTTTAATAGGGACATAAAGTCTAAGAATGATTAAATTTACCATTCTGTAGAAATGGCAAACATGTGTTTTATAATGTTGTAATTATAGAATTAAAATGTGTTAGATGCTTGTAAACTTGTATCACCTGAAGAAAATGGCGCTGAATAATGTAAACAAGATGGCATTTTGACTGCTATACAATAATCACTATTGCTGTACCAATTGTCAAACCACACAAGAAACAAAATATGACCAACTCAGCTTTATTGTCAATGAGGAACTTTTAGAAAACTGTAACAGAACACTAAAAATAATAAGCGTACAAAAAATAAAAATAGTAATAAAAAAGTAGTATATTAATGTATATTAATATTAATTTAAACGAGTACATTTATTAAGAAACGACAAACGCTGTTTCATCGGAGAGCTTCATTAAAATAAAAATAAATAAATAAATAAATAAATGAAATAAATAAATAATAAAATTTTATGAATAAGTAATAGACAAATAAATGAAAAAAGTGGATAAGAAACAAAGAACATATAAAAGATGAAAAATCGAGAAAGAAAACAATGGTTCACAAGTGCATGTATATAAAACATTTAAACGAGTTCTATATGAAATATGATTTGAATGTTTATATATACATACATGTAGATTCCGGTGTCAGTGAATATTATAAAGTCAATGGAGACTATCCCCGCGTCAACTTCCGATATCAAATATACTGTTAGCACTGGAACGCAACCCGTCATTATTAGAAAAAAAATACTATGGCTGATAACAAAAAACTCTGATGCAAAGAGATGCCTCTTCTTCAAATTATGTATTTTGACTAAGACTTTTATTACAGAATTTTGAAAATTGTTTCTCAAATATCTTATGTGCAGTCTGCATGCTGTCCTTATCATCTTAATTAGCGCCTTTGGTTAACCTTTTGAAATAAAATTGTCATCAACTTGTTGTTTAACATAGCTACGTGTAGCTTCCAAAGACTAAAATGGGTAACAACCTCATTGTTGAACTATATTTTGACTATCTCTTCAATGTTTAACTCATATAAATCATATACCTTCCACAGTAATTCATATCTGTTTTCACTCAGAAATGTAGTTCATCAGATGAAAGATGACGAATACGTCTTCAGATGTTATGGTAACTAAGGATAATGTTTATAGACAGTAGATAAAAATATCAGGGATTTAACCTTTACAATTTCAGTCGTTTAAAGTACTGACCATTTGTACAGGCTATAGACGACTTTGTTCGCTCTTAAAAACAAGAGACTGAAAAAAAAAAAGACTTTAATTTACCACTTTAACACTGATTTACTTTTTTAAGTATTTAGATGGAATTAAAACCCAAAGCCTGTTTGCTGGTTTTGTTAGGACTATGTTGTATCATGCGTAGTCTCGCGGATGAAGTCTTCCTCAACACACGTCTTGGTACTATCATTGGTAAGAAGGCTGAAACGACATTTAATGGAAAAACAGGCAACGTGAACGCTTTTCTGGGGATTCCATATGCCGAGTCACCTACAGGTAGCAAAAGATTTCGAAAACCGGTACCTAAAGCGAACCTTGTAAATCCATACAATGCCTCCGATTTCGGCCCAGCTTGTCCGCAGGATTTATTCATGATGATGGGATGGGTTCCCGGATATCCGTATGTAGACGAGGATTGTCTCTCTTTAAATGTGTTCACGCCAGAAAATGCCGGTATGCAAGGTAATAATAAGAGCTATGCGGTTATGGTTTGGATTTACGGTGGCGCGTATGTGATAGGACAAAGTAAAATGTATTCTGGAGAGAATTTAACATTAGTTGGTGATGTTATTGTTGTAACGATGAACTATAGGATCACGTCTCTAGGATTTCTTAGCACTGGAAGCAGCAAGTATCCGGGAAATGCTGGACTGTGGGACCAACAGTTAGCAATAAAATGGGTACACGACAATATTGAAAGTTTTGGAGGGGATCCAAATCGTGTTACGATATTTGGAGAATCAGCAGGGGGATCAAGTGTGCTTTATCACGCATTATATCCTGGAAACAAAGGTCTATTTCAACGCCTCATAACAGAAAGTGGCAGTCCATTGTGCCCCTGGGCATATCAGCCTGATCCTATAAAATATGCAAGAAGATTAGCTAATAAGCTAGGCTGCAAAGATAATGACCTGGACGCTGCTGTAGATTGTTTACAGAAACTTGACGCTATGACCGTAGTGAACAACAGTCGCGTGGGCTCACAAGATGACACAGTCTTCAGGGCTGAGTGGGTACCGAACTATGACAACGATTTTATAAGGTTTCCACAAAACCGTTTGTTTTCTTCCGGAATAGATATGTTTAAGGACTTGGACTTGATGGCTGGAGTCAATAATAACGATGGTGCATTTGTTACTCTGTTAGCTATACAGCCGTTTATGGTCCAGCAGATAAACAAAACATTTGACAAGGGTATCACTAGAGATTTTTTCAATAATTTCTACATTCCATTTTACTTTAAAGATTATCGTGGAAACGTTAGTCAATTGACAAAAGACACGGCTGCCCATGTTTACACAGACTGGAGAGATCTACATAACGATATTTACACAAGAGAAAAATTCTTACAATTTTCGGGAGATTACAATTTCTTCATGCCTGTTTTATCTAGTATAAGAGCGCATGCGAATTCTTCATCAAAGTCAAAGACATTTTTATATCAGTTTAAAGTGCGAGCGGCTTTCAACAAGTCACCATCATGGGTATCTGGCGCAAATCACGGAGATGAGTTACCGTTCGTATTTGGTTTCCCAGATCTTATGGCGGATGGAATGGGATTCCGCGATAATGTTCCTGCAATTGAGGAACAACTTTCTACAAATATAATGACAATGTGGAGTAATTTTGCGAAAACTGGGTAGGTTTTTGAATGTAATAAAATTTATTTTCACGGTAAATTTCCCCGGCTTATATCTAAACAAATAGTTCAATTTTTAAAGAATAATGCCAGAGCATGAAATATTTTCTAGATATAAAACTATTTATCGCATTTTAAATGTTCATTTTGAAAAGTTTGTTTTAATTGGTTACTGTGATCATTTACAAGACTTTTTACTTTCATATCATTCCAGAGATCCAAATTTTCCAGTGAATGTACCAGACGCTATAGTTTGGCCAGAGTATAATTCGGACACACAACGTTATTTGAGGATTGGCTTAAATAAATCATCAGCATACCAAAACCTGTTTGGCGATAGAGCCTCGTTTTGGCTCAAACTTGAGCCAGAAATCCATGCGCTTGAAAGAGCAAAATCAAATCACAATTATCAACCTGGACTCGGCATACCTGTTATAGTTGGGTAACTGTCAACTCAGCAATGGTTTATAATTGCATACGGACATCTTTTCTTTCTTATCTCCGAACACATTTAACTTTTCTGTTTTATGATACATGGACATATCTAATTTCGATAGCTAACTGCTCCAGGTAGTCACATCGTAACATCAGGAACATATACATATACTTTTCCTACCTATGTTATGTAAATGTATTTGACATATGACATCTGTTCTGAGTTGATATGGCATTAGTACGATAAAAAAGAATAATAAAACGCATATGTATAATAATCGAGATGTGTTTTATTGAAAAAGTATGGAGAAATATTCATTGCCAGTACTACAATGAAGACATACAACAAGAGTGATGCTAAATAACCTCCTGTAACACTCACAATGCGCTCAATATAACCTAACTAAAAACTTTACACTAACATTCAAACATACATAGAAAAAGTAATTCTAACAAAGTTTGTGATGTTAAAGACCCTGTTTAGTTTTTACAAATTTCTGATTTTAAACATCTCAAATGCTTACGTTTTTACTGAAAAATTCGGCCTCAATCCGTTCTGTTAAAAAAATGAAAGTAACTTGTAAGTAGCTTTGTTTTCTCATGATTAGTATAATGAACAGAAGCTATTGGGAGTATAAGCCAAGCGTTACTCAACCAGAAATTATCAGAAGTACATAGAGCACTATATGCATTGATCAACAGTTACAGAATGGTATACCATAATGATCATGATTTTTACTTGCATACTGAACATGTGATTGTTACAACAGATTATAAACTGGAGGTAAAATTTTCAAAAAACAAGACAACATCTATAGTTGGAACACAAATCAATCTGGAGAAAAGACGGAGTTGAAAACAGACAAACATGTTATCTACCATAATATAGAAAATATATAGAAAAAAAAACTTGTATTATTCTATATATATACTTTAACATAGGTGGAGAAAATTTGAGAATCTTCCCCAAAATTTTAAGGTTTATAACATTAATGAATAAAATTCTCATATATATATAGATATAATTATATATAATAATATATAAATCTCCCAAATTATATTAGGAGAGAAAATCCAATATGCAAAAAAAAAAGAAGAAAAATAAAAACTTTCTTTCAAATAACATCCCACACACGACATTGAATGACAAAAAAAATCATGTTTGCTTATACATACATCAACTTCTTAAGAAAAAAAACATAGTAAAAAATGCTGGAAACTGTTATACATAATTTTCATCTCTTTTTGATTTAATATCCTAGAGTTCAAAGCTGATAAATTATTTGACAATTTAAAGTACTGAAATATTAAGAACCTGAAGTAAAAGAATGCAAGAAACCTTTTCACAAAAAAATCATCTGTAGTTTTGACTTCTTGTTTACAAACAAACGTGACTTAAGCCACCTAAATGTAATTTGTTCATACAGAATTTATGTAGACAGCTATAAACTTTCAGACACATTCTAGAATAAGTTCCTGAAACCAACCAATACTAAGCAACGAGTGTAAAGTTTCTTGCACAAGGAAACAGCAGCCTGCCTGTGATGGGGTTTGAACCCATGCAGCTAGAATCCTTAGATACTACTCCTCTTCACATATTAACTGCCAATAAATTACAGTAAATTATCATGTAATATTTTTGTGTTTTATATCAGCGTAAATCATTAAGCAATACCAGCAGTTTTTACTATGACTTCCATTACAGTAGTGTATTTACATTCTTAATGTTTCTGTCCTTATTCTGTAATCTAATTTAAAACGAAAAATCATTAAAAACTGATTATCAAATCTTTATAATACATGTATAATTATAGAAATGTGCCATGCCTTCAGTAGTTATAAATCTTGTTCAACATATAAAAGAGAGTAACTGACTATAATTTATGATATAGTGGTATATGTGAAATAAATTATAATCCAGAATATCCTCACTTTACAGCTTATACCTATATTTAGTTACAAAAAGTGCAACAATACCTTTAACTTAAGGCAAGGAGAAATGCTACAAGAAAAACTCTAAAATGTTCAATCTTTTCTATTAAGAAAATACTTATTTCCTCATATTACTGAAATTTACTGTTTAAATTGGTTGAAAAAAATATTTAAAACAAAAATATATTTTTGTTCACTTTCTGGCTGTAAACAATCACAAGAAAAATATTATGTATAACATTATAAAAACAACAACATTGTACAGAAAAACAAATTGTTTGGACTGACAAAACCTGCAAAGCTGATTAATTAACATATTGCACTTACAAAAGCTTTAACAGTGTAGGAAGAAGTCATATTGAAATGTGACTTAGTCAAATTGCCTACATCCTTTTCTTTGAAAAAAAAATTGTAATAAAGTTATCATAAATTGTACCAAAGATAAGCAAACAAGTATATTTCATATGAAATATTTATAAGAGCAATTATGGATGGTTCGAGAAAATATCGCTGTTCCAAATTCACAAATGGTTACTTTTGTTATCTCTTTTTTCATACCTTTTCACCAGGTAATAGAAAATATTTGTATACAATTTAAAGTTTAAAAGACTTCATGACAGAAACAATATCCAATTTTGTGTGAGGTAGCTTACAAATTTATTGCTTGTTTTGAGAAATCTGGCACTACCACTCAAGTTGGAAAGAAAAAGAAGAAACCTAGCTTGGTCTACTGTAAAACTACAAAATATCTCACACAATGAAATGCATGTTTCACATTGAAGAGACATCACTATCAAATTAACATTTATTTCATGATTAAACTCAGCTTGTGTGTCATTCCTCTGTTGATAATCAAAAGAAAATTTATGTATCTCATAAGCAGATCCATACTAAGAAAGACAAGCTATGTACAGATCTGTCATTATAAAAAAAATGCATAATTGTGAATGCAAGGTGAAATTCATGGACTTGTTATCATGGTAAGAAACAAATACAACAATTTGCTAACAGAAAACATGTTTGGTAGAATGAAGGTTTATTTACCCTTGTATATTATATGTAAAATATAACATGGAACTTGCCATAAGTATTCTGACATTATAGGACATATCACAATGTGTATGACCTGGTTTCTATTAAAACACCCTTTATGCATAATACACTGAATTTAATAACATGAGATGAAATCATTATCATTACATTTTATAATCTAGAGATAATAAAGCAGCGTAAAATAGGATAGCAAAAAATATTGTAAGCAATTAAAGCATTTAGTCAATGGCACACACTAATGAAAACAGATGAAATAATGCCGATTAAAAATGAATCTCAAATTTTGTAGTAGATTTAAGGACATAATATAGCCATACACTGATTGCTGGCTTGTTAAAGAAGATAACCTCTTTTTGTATAATATCACAGAGTAATGTCATGAACACTGCAGTCACTAGAAATTACAAGTTTTTCAATGTAATAATTTAACCTTTTATAATCATATTATAGATGTCATAATCATAATGGTCATAAAATATTTCTTACCTTAAAAAAGGTTTAAAGCATCAGCACTGTTAAATAGAATTTGTTTCAATTGTTACAGTAATTTTACTGTTTCTAGAATATATTTATTATTGTTATTATAAAAGTAACAGAAAATGTCACTTATATACAGTAAATGTCACAGAGAATGTCACAAGTACACTGCAAACATTACAGAAAATGTCATACAGATGGTGGTTGAAATGCTTGACAATGTCTCATATATATTACACCTATGACCTCACAAAGCACAGAAAATTCTACCAACTGAGATCAAACGTTCACATTTAATGAAGGAGAAACAAACTTTGTTTATATTTTTTCATATTAAAACAGTCATTTAGATCTTAATGGGACTGGCATCATTTGTTGAGGTAAATCATTGTGTATGACATCATATGAGTCGCGTCATGACAAAACCAACATAATGGGTTTGTGACCAGCATGAATCCAGACCAGCCTGTGCATCCGCACAGTCTGATCAGGATCCATGCGGATGCGCAGGCTGGTCTGGATCCATGCTGGTTGCAAACGCACTATGTTGGTTTTGTCGTGACGCGGCTCGTATATTCTGATTGATAAGCTGTTAACACATTTTGTAGTGAGTGACACAGTATGGAAATGTGACAAGTATCACAATGGGAAACTTCAATATCACCACATTTACCTATTATTTCTGTACATGTCAATTAGAATAACTTGTATCTTCATTTTATATAAACTTAGTCATAATTATAAATGTCATGACAATTTAATTTACTGGTTAAATTCAGTTTAAATATCTTAATGTATTTCTAAAATTACATGAATTATGAGAGCAAAACTGATTTTTCAAGAAGGGCAAAGTGTTATCCATTTAAAAACACTTAGCTAAAAATGCTTTTTTATGACAAAACAAAATCACTGTACGAAAACTATATACAAACTTCTAACTTTAAAAATGCATTCTTTCCTATTTTTTCATCAACACAATTGAAAGTTATTTAATATCCTGACAATATATGTGAGCTTTAAGAAGCAAAATGTTTTGTTTACAGAGTTTGTTCAAAATCAAATTGTTTTACAAACTGTGGTGCTAGTAAGCTGCCAATTATTCAATAAAAATATATAATAAAAACACATCTCTTATGTTAGATAGTTGTGACTATAACCCAAACTTTGTTTGCTATACATATATAATGTGAATAAATACTAAAACAATATGCAACAAAATATCTATCTATACAAATACAAAACAGGATTTATACTCAATAACTAAGACAATCTATAAAGAAAGCATGATACAAATGTATACATAATTTCAAGGATAAAATTAAAAATAGTGCATGTTTTATTTCATTTTTTGTATAGTTGTGCAAATGGAGTATTTTCCAAAATATTAAACAAACAAAAAAATTGAATAATAAAAAATGGCCTCACACATTGATGTTGTGTTTCCCCATATAGTCATGTCAATGTGTATAGATTTATGTTTTAATAGCTTTGTCACAGATCAGTATTTAAACAGGAAACACGATATTGAGTGTGTTCAGTAAACTACAAGGTTTGGATGTTCAATAGGTGAACCATAAAGGCAATGATATCTGGACTACAAACCATAATATCCAAGAAATTTCTGGTTCTATATTGTACAGTTTTTCTTCTGCAGGATCACTACATAATATATTAGGAGCTACTTTTTTGTTTCACATGGAAAGAACACACCTTAAAGTTGTAATAGCACATGTATGACAGCTGTGACAGTATCTAGTGTTAGTGTAATTTATATTTTATAATTCAGCTTTATCCTGTAATATCAGCTACTTCAACTGACAGTTTGGAATAACTATAGCTAATAAGAGCATCCATATTCTTCATATTTTCAAGTCATATAGTGTTTATGTTGAATTGTTACATTCCAGCATTACTGGTGAAGGAAGACCAGGTGCCCCTTTCTGTATTATATATAGCACATGCAGGTATACCAGCAGAACCATTTACCTTCTGTTGCTTGTAAACATACAAGAAAGTCTCTGACTGGATTGGAACACAGTATCAAGAAATGAGTGATTCAAAATAAACTATACTACCTTCTTAGAAAAAGGACTTTTAAAAGTACTAACTTGAATTATGCAGATCTGTTTTCTAGTGAAGAAAAACTGACGAAATACTGAAGCATCCTTGAAAGTCAGGAGAAGAAACACAACACAAATGCCTGAAGCCTGAAATGATCTTAAAAAGAATCCCACCTCCCCTATTATAATTTTAAAGAAAAACGATGAATTTAAAATTTATTTTTGATTCTCTGATTGAGACCAATAGAATATAAAAAAAAAATTTCCCCTTTAACCCCCATATACACATTTTTTTCTCTTTCAAACGGGAACCCAAAAGATTTTAGTCATGTCAGTTTCCCTAATATAGATTTTTTTGTTGCGTTTTTTGTTTTTCACTTTTAGACAGTGTTTACTTTCATTGAAAATTAAATGAACTCTAATTTCCAATGGATACTAACTCATTAAATAGACACTGCTTTCACAGCACTGTCATGCCGATTTTAATTATGGTAACTTATAAAACCTAAAATATCTCTTCACAAACTGATTTTATCTAATATTTCAACACAGCGGAATATATTGGCAATTCAAAGAGTGATTAATGAATTGTAATATCATTTATATAAATTATCAAATGAAATTAATGACAGTAATTCTGATGATGATAAATTTTGACCTATGAACACTATGAAAACATTGACAATATATTTTTTTTTTTAATTGTGTATTATGGCATTCATTCAATTTAACAAAACATGGCATTTAAGCACCAAAAATTAAAAATATAACATAACACATATTTCCCCAACATGATTTTGTAACTCTTGGTTTTGTGAAAACATTTTATTTTTTTTTATCTATATTTCATATATTAGACAACATAAAAGGGAATGTTTTAAAATCTGTGTGTTTTATATCAAATTTACACAACAATGTAATAAACAGTAATATCATATGATATTTCATAATTTCTTGCAAATTCTATAAGCTAAAGAAGGCTAATACATTAAAGGCTGATTCATTTATATTGAAATGACTCCTGATTATGTTTGTTTTAATAACTAACTAAAATTTTTATATATTAAGATACACAAGTTTTAATCAATGTTTTTTTTACATCTAAAGGGATTACATGAAAGTGCAAATGACCAACATACAAACATACTTCTTACAAACAACAGAGCTAAGGAAAAAAAAAAAAACTTTCCACCAACCGTTCATTTATCATCTAATGATATGAAAAATAGTAGCAATACAAAAAATTGTAGCTACATGTAGAATGAGAATTAAAGAAGCATAAAAATCTAATCTTATTCCTTCTCTATTCTTAAACTGCTAAAAGCAAGTTCAATCTTCAACTTTCATATTTCCTTCAAACTATCAGCAGCCATCTTGTCAAAGAAGATAATGTTGACTTCCAAGAATCGTCCCGTTTTCCTTGTACCATAACTAAAAGGGGAAACAAAACCCTTTATGTATCTAACCAGCAAAATACAGTAATCTTCCCTTCTCTATGCCTCTTAATAAAGGAGAAAGCCCATCCATACTCAACATATGAGCAAACATTAATTAGAATAAAGAAAATGCCCTTATAAAGGCATGATTTGGAAAAAAAGTTGACATTCTATTGATATTTTTGTGTACTGGGCTATTTATTTGGTGCTGAAGGGTCTCCAGACCTGTGGAAATGAACATTTTGCCATTTTCCATCCTTTCTTTGCCATACACGAGTTTCCTCACTCTGTTTGGTTGCTGGTAAACCATCTCTGTAGTAAACAAAGAACAAGTTTAATATGCTTTATCAGGTAGGGGATTTATATTTGTCTGAGGAATTACAATTATCTTTCAATTTGGGAAGAGACCAACTGATGAAAGGAGCATAACCCTGAAGATACAGCTTTCAGACTGATGCCCCTTGTCTTGTAACTGCCCCTAAGTACCAAGTTTCGTGTGGACATCTTTAAAAAGTCTGAAAACATGGGCAACAATAAAGTTTTGCATAATGACCAAGTTATCATATCTTTTTTTTTCCTGAGCTAAATAGTGTCACAAAACAAACTTTCACACAAAACAAACTTTCAACGTTTTACAAACTGATTGAATGACAAAAATGAGCATTGAAATATTCTAACTCTAATAATATAAGTATAAAACAGTTCAATAAATACAAAGTTTAGAAATGTACTAGAAACCTACTTGTCAATGAACTGTGTAAGCCGTACATATGCAATACAAGCAGCATCATCTCCTAGTACATGAACTGTTGGATTCAAAATACTTGTATTCACTGGTTTATTGTTCTTGGATAAAACTGAAATTTACAAATACAATAATTATTTACGTGGTGTTCAAACATAATCATATACTTTGAAAACAAATATCTCTTGATTAAGACTTACCCGAAACACAACTATTTTTCTTTTTCAAACTTGCTCAAATATCAAAACTGAAGATTACATGAAAGTAAATGAATGAAAGTTAAGGAATATATTATGAACTTCTAAAAATATCACAATATCTATTACTGGTATATATTTCAAGAGCTTAACAATTTAGGATCATGTTTTACTAATCAAGTGAGGATTGAAATAAGATGTATAATGCATATATGTGAAATCTCTGACAAATGAAACTAAATGATTTTTGCCAATATTTAATTAAATGAAATCTACAACTTCCTACATTCTATAACTACAGTGCAAGTAATTAAAATTTATCTTTAGAGTGCATTAATGTAATTCTCCAAGTAAATATATGAAGCTGACTTGTATACTTGTTTATCTATTGCTTAATTTGCCTATTCTAAAAAACATTTCATAGAAATTTGCTTGAACACAGTAACTTTATCAACCATCTTTTACAATACAACATAAAGAACAAGGAACATCGCAATGCGATGCAACCAGGTTTTCAGCAAAATATTTCACAGAAGCTTTGTCATGAAGGGGCATTTGTTTTTAATTGAACTTTTAGGAGGAATTATGGCTCTTTTAATATTCCTCAAACAAAAATGATTGAGAAATTTTATGTTTCTATTCGCCTGTTTTTTTCCCAAATATTTTAGAAAGGTAAAACAGTACTTTATTTTTGCTTAATTTTTGCATTTTTGCGTCTTTTGTCAAATTTTCTTTGTTCAACAATATTGGCGTTTGTGGTGTTTTTGTGGCGATATCAAGAAAAGTATGTCACATTTTAAAAAAATACTTGAATGATGTCTTGGAAGAAACATCGGGGAATTTAGTGAGCGCCAGGGCAACTTGATGACAAAGCTTCTGTGAAAAGTTTGGTCAAAATCCATTGAGAAATGTAGGAAGAAGTTGCGCACTTGTAGAAATCTTGTTCACTATATATTTCTGTATAAGGAAAAAATATCACAAAGGGGCCAATAATTCGGTCAAATATTATTTTCCAATTCACAAAACCCTGGACAATATGTGCCAGGCACTTGATTTAACAAAGCTTCTAAGAAAGTTTGGTCAAAATCAGTTTTGAGAAATTGTAGGGGGGAGTTGCCGCACAGAAAAAAATTGTTTCACTTATATATTCTATATAAGGGAAAAAAAACCAAAGGGCCATAAATTAGGTCAAATATTATTACCCCAATTGCCAAAAAACCCTGGCAATTATGTGACAGGCCACTTGATGACAAAAGCTTCTGTGAAAGTTTGGTCAAATTTCCGTTGAGAAATGTTAGGAGGAGTTGCGCACAGAAGAAATTGTTCACTAATATATTTTATTATAAGGAAAAAAAAAACAAATGGGCCACTAATTAGGTCAAAATATTATTAATCGCAAAACCCCGACAATATGCGCCAGGGCACTTGATGACAAAGCTTCTGTGAAAGTTGTGTTTCAAAATCCGTTGAGAATGTAAGAGAGAGTTGCCGCCACAAGAAGAAATTGATTTACGCCCGCCACGCGCCGCCCAATCCGCCCGCCCGACATACCCAATCTAATAACAGTTTTTTCCTTCGGAAAACCTGGTTAATAAAAGCACAGGCAGCTAAAAAACACATGAAGAAAGAACAAATTGTAAAGTCAAGAATGTTTTTATGGCACTTTTACAGAAGTAAAGTATTATTAAACAATAAAACATCATCAAGCTGCCCTTCAAAGCAGATCTGAATCTGACAATCCATGACAATACCCTAGCATTATCTGTAACATCAATGTTGCTCTGTCAAGGATAAAAATATGGCCTTATTATGACTTAACTTGGAACCTCCCTCTCCCCTATTTTCAGCCTTAACAAAATTGACCCGAAAACCTAACCCATGTATAGACAGTGAAGAAAGGCACAGAGAAAAATAGTTTGGTAGCATAATCTGAAAGCAGCTACATCACCACACTGACGATGTCTTATAACTTTTTCATTAAAATTGTAAAATATTCTAGTGCATATGTCTGTGATACACAGACAGGAACTGTTTTCTATACATGTATATATTTGAAGGTAATATAATATGCTTCAGTGAGATATACATGTAGTACTTTGTGTATGATCAAACAAGATTTTACACTATGTTTTTACAACTATGTTTTATGGACATTTAATGTTTGATGATTTTTGCAAATCTAAGTATGCTACTTACAATTCTATTCTTATCAAACAATGAAATAATTATTCAACTCCAGTAAAGAAATCCAGCGGACAAGTAGGTAGAAACTACATTACAGGTGTATATAGTTTGATGTTGAAGACATCATGTAAGGGGAAGCTATGGGAATACAAGCTTTATATCATGTTTATACCTGAACTATTGTGATCAGCCAAATTACACCAGGATCCATTATCTACAGATTATAAAGTTCACATCAACTAATTTTCTTATGATTTATGAGAACCAAGTCAAACCCCTCCCCCCATCCTCCAAAAAAAACCCCCCAAACAGATGGAAATCACATCATACCCAAAATGTGTTGTCTCAATCTGTTGCACACTTTTTAGTCTTCATTAAAATAAGGCTTCTATTGACATGTTAAAACAAATTTACATCTTTTTTTTAACCAAATGATCAGATGAACTCTATTATCATATTATGCTCACTCACAATTTAATTTGCATTCAATTTATGCAGACACTGGCCTGTGACTGACTAGTAGATTATTATCTAATGGTGAAGAATCAACCCTGATATCTCTATGGAAAACCAGCACACACACAATCTGTGCATTTTGCTGCTTTGAAAAAGCACTTTAGTACTGAAAAGGTAAATTTGTCAACTTGTGGGGAAGACTAGGTGTTCTTTGATTATTTTCAGGTTAAAGGGGCCCCGAGTAGCCCCATGACACTAGAAGCAAGCAGATAATTCTCAATTTTTAAAAGTAAGCAAGTTAAATAGATTCCACAATAAAAGAATCCAAAGTCTCTGATGGGATTCTAACCCACAGCGGTGTTGGGCAAGTTATTTAAAGTCAGCAACCTTAACCGCTCAGCAACAAATGCCCTACATTCACAATTGTACATACATTAACCAAATATATATGTAGACACAAGCACCTTAACATTTAGACAATTTTGTCTATATTAAGATATTTTATGTTTAAACATTGTATACAGTTTGATTTTGATAGGAAAAATAATTTACAACATACAGATGTAGATAAAGAACAGTACAAAAACATATCTGTAAAAGTGCTATTACAGGAAGTGTTTGTCAATAAAAGATACATGCTATATTATATGCCATGTATATACTAAAATAATTGTAAGATTATATGGATCAAAATATTTAACCCTTACCACACTAAATATCTGTGCTAAAGTGTTCTTCATCTTTTTAGAAAAATTCAAAATATGAACTATCTGAATACCAAACGTGCAGACCATGAAAGAGGGCTGGATTTTCTGTTCCACATGCATAGGGGTAGAATCTTTTTCCCCCAAAAAAATTTTAAAACAGTTAAATTTTTTTGTAACTTAAATCAGAAAAATTTTATGAACCATTTCCTTAATACCCCACAGAAAAAAAAGAGGGAAAACAAAGGTAGAAGAAACAAGTACAATCTGACCCAAGCAGAGTACGCACCACAATACATACCCCCCTTACCATGGTCAAAGTAGAACTTGTGAAAGTCCATTCCTACGATTAGGTTACCCATCGCCTCTGGCTCAAAGCATGTAATTGTCGGATCAACAAACTTCCTGTCATATATAGGATACATAAATGTATACTGAATCTGTTATCATTGCAACTGATCTAGGTTCCAAACAAATACCAATTTAACATAGCTTTTATATAAGTAGTGACAATAATCAAACATCAAGGCACAAAGATAGAAATGCAATGCCAGATTAAGACAAATGTAGGAACAATCTTGTCGGCAGTGAAACCTTATCAATATTTTGATTCAAAGCAGTGAAAATAAACAATTCAAATTTAAAACATGGACAAAACCCATGTAAGAAATGTAAAGACATATTTAATTATCATATCAAAAGTATGTTATTTGTATAAAGAAATTCGTAAGTAAGATAAAATAAACTTACGAGTAAGCATCATAGTCCCCACTTGTTATGGCAGCAATAAGTTGTTCTGTCAGCTTAATCACCTCCTGTTTTCTACCTGTATAATCATACACAAACAATTAACATACTATAATCAACATTTAACAAACACCTGCCATTATAGCATTACAAACGGTACAAGTCCATGCCCAAATAAAGGTACATAAAAATCCTGTACAAAATAACTGTAACTATTGTTCTGGGTGTCTGTAAAAGCCGTGCTGCTAGTATATGTAATGCTAAAAAAGAATAAATTAAAATATATCAATAAATATAAATGATTATAAAGTCCTTACAGACAAAAGCATCATAATCATTATACCTTTCAACTTACTTTCTATATCCATGTTGGAGAAGTTTTATATCTTTTTGACAACAAGTAAATGATTTACAAGATTGAAACAAAAGTTTATCTTTAAGGGGACATTCAACAATTGTAGAGGACTTAATTGTTTCTGTATTTCTGACTTTTATTTTGTTTTATTACTTCAATGTAACTTATGACAAGTATTTTCTCTGTATGAAGTATTATTTTAAACTGGTACAATAAAAAATCAAAAATCTTTACAGTTTATATAACATTTTATGCTTTGTTCAATTATTTATATAAGTTTCTTTTGGGACGTCCCTCTTTCAGTTGAGACATTTACATGCATACAATTATATCAATTACTATACGACCTCTAATCTTCCAGTATTTGAGTGAAAACTCCGGTTAAAATAAATGACGAGTCAATATTTTGTAAATCACTTGTTGATTTTATTTGCAAACAGTTATATAGTGTAGGGATTTCATTGCTTCTTTTCTATATTCAAAAAATATTTTTTCATGTATCATTTTTTTAAAGTAAATATTTTTATCCATCATTTTTAAAAGTAAATAAATATATATTAAGAAGACACATAATTATGCCATAACTGACATAGAGTTATTTTGAACAATTTTAGTTGCTACTCAAATCTTACAGCTTTGCATCTTACATTGATAAGGGACCATAAATTTATCAGGAGTAATTTTAAGGCAATACAGAACATAAACAATCTACACTAATTTACCATGATTTAGCAAAATATTGAAGTTAAAACATAATGAAGACAATACATATTTAACATAGAAGCGGTATGTTTTTCACCATCATGCAACAAGCAACAAATGAAAGGTATATTGACTTAATATATCTGATGAAGTTAAATGATGACTTGATAAAACAAGAGAGCCTAAATTGCTCACCCGAGATACATTGCTAGAAAATGTAAGTAACTAACTTAACATTTTTGTCCCCAGTTGCATAATTCATAAAACATTTTCTGATGCTATGTGCTCAAAGCTCTTGGCATTGTCCATCTAGTTTGAATGTGTTTTCCTATATTAATCTGTATTGACCAAGTGAACCCAGGCTGGTTTCAATTTTGACCCTAAAAAGGCATGATCTATATAACTTTTGTAATGATTTTATACTACATTCCAAATATCTACGTTCTTTGTATTTAAGTTGATTTTAAGACATGTTGACTATGTAAGTCCATATAAACTGACTCCCAGGGTATGGCCACCTTATATCCTTTGGGCATGATTCATGCTACTTAGTAGAAGTCCACAAGGCAGTGCTTTTTGCTAAATATCTAAGCTCTGGTCATTGTAGTTTCACATGAGAAGACTTAAATGTACTTTTCTATATTAGTCTTTATAAAGTAGGATCCCAGGGGTGGGGTCAATTTTAACCGCAGGGGCAAGATTGATCTTTAATAAAATTTATAAAGCAATGCTTTATGTTCAATACCTAACCTCTAGACATTGCAATTTCACAAAAGAAGACTTAATTTTGTTTATCTATATAAGTTACCCCATGAGGCAGGGCCAATTCTGACTACGGAGTTTTTATTTGTATTATAACTTTTGTAGAGTAATACAAGGTGATGCTTCGTGCTTCATATTTCAGCTCTGGGCATTTTTGATTCTAAGATTTCACTTTTTAAGTCCTTTTTTAAGCTCATGTGACCTATTTTCAGACTTTAAGAAAACTTTTGTAAAAGGCTATCTACATTCATGTGAAGTTTGATCGAAATCCACCATGTAGTTTAGAAGATGATGTTTAATAAAAAAAATTTGAATAAAAATGACAACGCACACATTGCAATCACAAATGCTCATCTGTGAACACTGTACTTGGGTGAGCTAAAAAAGCAACCCCAATCTATCTTACATAATAACTCAACACAAAATAAGTTGGGGCAATAGGGCAGTACATGTATTTAAATTCCCTTACAATAATATAAAACATCATACAATAACAAAAACATATACAATTACAAAAACATATTATCATACAATAACAAAAACATATTATCATACAATAACAAAAACATATGAAGCTTTTACAAACATACATACATATAAGTAGCATAACAAACACATGCACTTTATATACATCTTCACTTAATTTGATAAAACCAATCTAAACAATTAAACCATTCAAAACCAAACCTTTTAATATTTTTGCCATATTTTAATCCTCAAGTATCCAACCATCAAAACAATTATTCAGAAAGGGCATTCAGCCAACTTTCTTCATTTGTTTTGATCCCAAATTTAAATCAAGGTATTGGTTCTAAAAAAAAATTCTTTAAAAGCTATGCAGGTAAATGCAGTGACTCGCAAGATTTCTTAAAATTTTCTTGGAAACATGTTCTTCATACATAAATAATCACAGATTGTTTTCCCTCTATACAATGAGAAGCTTAATGATTTATTCAAACTTTTGTTCCAAGTCTAAAACTTCATGTACTATAACAAATAAGGTGTGGGCCTGCTCTAAATTTTTTATTAATACCCCCGATGATACAACCAAAATTCCTTGTTCACTATAGAAACATTTAATGAACAGCTTGATTACATGACTGTATTAAATGGTAACCAGTTTTGTGTAAGTTGTATAATGCATACACAAGTTAAATAGAATTTTCTAAAATGAATGCAAGTTTCTGTTTCTATTGCCAAGCTAACAGCTTTTGTTGCGTATTCAAAGACTTCACTGGAATTTCAGTTTAATGGACAAGTTTCTGAAAACTAAGCAATTTGGTCTTTCAAACAAATCTAAAGCTAATGGTATGAAAAATCAGATTTTTGCTTCCTGGCAGTCAATGACATTTGCTTATTAATTTGGTAACATGACTACAATATATCATCAACCCTGAAACATGAGTCTCAGTAACACCAAATTATACATATAACTGATCAAATCTGAACATCAAATGCTACTAGCTTTACTAGCTGGTCTTATTTAGAGGGCGTTTAACTCCAATTCAAAAACGGTTCAACACTACAATTTCTGACATAAAATGCAATGTGTATAACGTGACATTATAAAATGGTACAGACATACTTCTAATGGTTTGTATATGAAACACATGACTAACATTTCAAATAACACATACAAAAGCACAGAGCACTTATACTGTGATATTTCACTGATGATGGATTTATGATATTGTTTATGTGAAAAGTGGGTGGGGTACTTACTACTACTGCCTGGGTCAACTGCTTCACCCAGCTGTAAACTTGTCAGTGTGATAGCTCCTGTTTTGTAAATAAAACTAATGCATACAGTCATTCATTTTGTTAATAATAAGCTTAAAACTGTTTTGACACAAGTTTTTCTCTAAACTAGTAAGCTTTCCATTTTCATTACAAAAAGTAAATCATTACTTCTAATAGCTCAAAGGTTCAATATAGAATTAATGTCATCTGATTAAATATGACAGCTGATATAAGACTGAATTGACCATACAATTGCAATATTCTGTATTATTTCTGAGACTTAATATAACAGAGGTCCTTAAGAAAGTCAGGGAAATAAACAATACAAGAGGGCATAAAAGGCCAATATCATTCAAAAGAACAAATGACAAATGCCATGATAATATTTTCTGAATTTGGCACACAAAATACTAGAAATGTGCCTATTGGACATAGATGCCACTCCATTCAGCTGGACTGTCACAATAATCCTGTAGAATTACTAGCACATATCAGCATAGAAGTTTCAAGTCTAAATATGTTTATACAGTTGACTCTCAATAAGACAAAATCGCTTTACTCAAAATTCCGCGTTAGTTGAAGAATTTCTAAAGTCCCGTCAAATTCCCTTCTTTATCTTTGTATTTTAACTCCATTTAGGTCAAATTTTGACTTACCGAGACTCCTGTTTAGTCGAAAAGAAAATTTGGTCCCGTCAATTAAGAAAATTTGGTCCCGTCAATTGAAGTCCAACATATAATCATGTCAATTAGTCGAAGTGTGAAAACAGCTGACTGATCAAAGGTTGGCGACATTAAGGAGAGATGTTGTTACTCGTGATTTATACGTTTCATGGTAATTTTTAATTGCCGGTCATCATGTATTGTTAACACATCGTAAAAGTAGCTTTAATCCGTTTCGGGACTTAATTGGTTTTAACAGTTAGATAACTAAATTAAAATTTTATTACATTTCTTTAAGAAAATTGACTCGTGCCAGTCTGACGGATGTTAGTCAAATAATAGCCTAGGTATTGATGTGTGTTATCAACGTAAATGACATTTGTATAATTAATGTTCCGTCATTTTGCATACATTAATTTGTACTTCCGGTTCACGTCATTTCAACGGTTGAATATTGCAGCATTGCCGCTAACAACAATCACAAACCTACTTCTTTGCACATTTAATCAGGCACATGTATATACATGTACAAATGTCAACATAATGGTGGCAGTTCCACGTTACTCGAATTCCGTTTCTCTCGAAGTAAAATGCCCAGTGCCTTGGATTTCGAGTTACGGAGAGTCAACTGTATTTGCAAAATCAGGGGCCATAACTCTGCTTATCTCTAATGAATTTGCAACAAATGAACAAGATGCATAAATTCACATCGTGGTAACTTTTTTTTGAAAGTTTCATTTTGCTTGCAGTTATACTTTTGTAGTAACCCATGGCAGAAGTCATTTTTTTCTGTTTAATTCAGGCTAAAACTGTCAATTAATTTGTGTCAAACTACCCAGGTGCTTAGATTTCAGCACT